GCAGCTAATCCTACTTAATAGATTAATTTTTACATCATATTAATTTCTAAATATATCCCCCCTTCCCTTTCTCAATCTAGCAAACTTTGCCTCATAATAAAGATAAAAAAAGAAAGTTTAAGTTCTGCAAAACCCACCAACACATCAAATGAGAAGCCTGATTACAGACCATTTAATTATTCTGTAGCACTGAACATAGTTTGTCATGTAAACTGTAGAACAAAACCTTTTGTGATATGTGAACCACTCACACTTATGCCATTCAGGTTCAATGGCCTGTGGTGGATTCTATTCCTCATTCTCTGAATTTTAATCTGGTTTGGCTTTACTCTTTTAGTTAACTGGGAAACCTTTGGGTTCTGTGAACTAAGCACATTCCTTTATAACCACAGGCATCCACTTCTCATTGGAATTGTGACAATCACAATACTGGCATGCAGGTAAATGAGAACACAATTTGCTTTTCCCATCACAACTCCAGTTACCTCAGGGTACCCCACTCCAATATAAAGAAGTTTAATTGAATTCTGTTCTTTCATAGTAAGTGTGAAACACATTTTAGTTCTATCTGGACTTTCCACAACATTTGCACAGCTCTGGACACTGAATCACACGTGTTTTTTAGCCCTGGAAGAAATATGAAAGGATCCTTGCTGGGTTGGACTTGGAAGAAAAACAGCTCTGGCTGATATGAGACTATAGGAATTCTCCTTGGGCAAACAGCCCTTTCTGCACTCTCATTCCCTTTAGACTAAACTGTTAAGACTATTGGTCTGGCTCTAAGTCTGGAAAACCCCAAAAGGTAAGAACTTCATCCCTTATTTTGCAGGGCATTTAGTCCCCAAAAATGCTCTTAATAGTTGTTTTTTTAATGAATCTTCATTATGTATCAGGAAGAGTACTTTCTAATTTGCTTTTCTTGTCAACATAAATAGAGATGGGTAGATGATGGCCTTGTCACTGAATCAAAGAGAAAGGCCTTTTATGGTTGATGAAAGAGCAAAAATGCCTCTTCTCCATTTTTTCTCTCTGGTTGGTTGCTGTAGGGACTGCTCTATGCATAACAGCAAGAGATGGAAATGAATGATGGTCTAGTCTTTGCACGAAGAAAATGTTATACAAGGCTCCAGCATGACTGAAGCAATGTGCATTTGATCACTAATAACCATGTAAAAGACTGTATACAGCTAGTTACAGTCCTAATTATAGCAACACCATTTGTGCTGTAACTGTTGGAAATTCATCACCTTTTATCCTACAAGTCAGAAACAATGGCTTTGGTTTAAAATGTCAAAAGTCTAACCATAAAATTAAAAACAAACAACTCAGAGCCCAGACAGGGCTAAGCCTAAGTTTTTGTTTGTACAGATGTTTGTATTCTCCAGCATTAAGCCCATAATAGAAACTAAACTAATTTTTCTATTTTTACTTTTATGCCATGTAGAGTCTTCCAGACCTGTAATTATCAAAAATACTGAAGTTCTTTTGAGTTCCTTGGGAGGAAGGTAGTGCAAAAATATAATAACTAAACAATACAAACCTGGTTCTCCTGTTTCTTATTAAGTTTATCACCATTTTCTTTGAATTACGCTCATAAGCATATTATAATAGCCTTATAAAGGCTAGGGGAAAAAAGGCTATACCTTTCTTTTTTAAAGGCTATACTTTTACACTCAAACATCACTGACCTCCTAGACTTAGCTAGTATAGCTGGCCACGAGAGGACATTTTTTTTTTCTTAAAGTGTATGTGCTGTTGAAGCAAACACTCACTTTTTGAAAGAAAGTGACTGAAATATTACAACAGGTTAAATAGTTTAAAGAGAGGTGGAATCAGTCTAGCCTAACCCAAGTTCTCAAGCTCAAGCCGGGGGGAAAACTTGATCCTACTCAGTGTTTCTGTCTGGGCAGGAATTCAAATGAGATCTCTTAGAGGAAGAAATGCTTAAGAGAGGAATGTGTTGCTGTATTATATACAAAGGAAAAAGGATTAGAGAAACTTGAGATAATTCAGCCTTAAGAAGAGTAATCTGGGTAGAGATTTTAGTACATACAGGGATATCCCATACAAAAGATGGAAAATATGAACTTACATTATTATGTCATGGCTATCACTTAGATAGCAGGAAGAACTTTTTGAATAGAAAGGTTGAAAGACTGTGAAATACTCTAAGGTTATTTTAGACTGTCCTTTGGAGACTTAAAAACAGGATGGATAACGAATGGTTTTGGTGCAATTGTACCTACAAATAGCGGAATGGTAGATGGGCTCTTCGGGTTCCCATGAAAAGGAAAATTATGTGTATTATTATATGTATTATATGTATTTATGTATTGATGGGTGAGAAATGCCAAGTTCAAACGTAAGAGCTGAGATTGTGTTTGATTTCAAAAACACTCCTTAAGTAAGTTTGAGGATCGCAGCCTAAGAGAACAATGCCCAGTCATGAAGCCCAAACTACCCTTTCTGGTCTACCTCTGACCGTGTTAGGTTCTTATGGTTGGCCTTTCATCAGCAAGATGGCTTTGCAATACAGTAAAACCTCTCTTAGCGAAGAGGGATTCCAACACCACACTTCTTTGTTAAACCTCATTACTAAAGGCAGAAGGCAGCAAGACATTACAGGACACTGACAAAGAGGAGGTATGGGGGCAGCTAGGTGGTGCAGTGGATAGATCACCGGCCCTGAAGTCAGGAGGACCTAAGTTCAAATCTGGCCTCCGACCAAACACTTGACACTAGCTGTATGACCCTGGGCAAGTCACTCAACCCCAATTGCCTAAAAAAAAAAAAAAAAAAAAGAGGAGGTATGACATAAAAACGTGAAACGTTAACTTTTATGTCCCATTGCTAACAGAACAATCTCAAGAATCTTGGGGCACAGAGATGGAAACAGGGTCCTACACTGGTAGGAAGAAGACAGGGCCTGCTGGCTAACCTAGGCTAGGACAGGACATATTTGAAGTCCTAAAACAAGCCAGTGGCAAAAGGACACATTCATTTCTCCACCTGGCAAGAGCACCTGAAGGTCTCAAAAGAGTTGTCACTGAAGTAGATGATGCAAAAAGACAACTGGAAAAACACTGAACAGATGCTATCTGATCTGGACAGCAGGAAGGGGCTAGATAATGGGAAGGCAAATGAAAAAGAAGACACTGGGGAGAAATTTTGCATAGGATTGGTCCTGTTGAACTTCAACTACAGGCAAACAAACTCAAGTTGTGCACGGAGTTATTTTTGTTTGACATGGCTCAGCCATGTATATTATTACATGTATATGTAATATACTATTACTATAACATACTATTACTACATGCTACAAAGATTACTTTTCAAACACAGTTGACGGTTATCAAGGAACTTTGTTGTTAAAGTATCTATCAAATAATCCCTGCTTTTAATGATTTCTAATCACAATTGTTAAAATAATATTAAAATAAACATATATTCTCTGGTTACATACTGACAATGGAAATATGCATATTCTGTAAGCGTGTGAAAGGAAAAAAAATTTTTTCCACTGGCAATGCATGAAGATAAATAAGACTCAGGTGTCCTGCTCCTGCCTCTTATTTTGAGGTTGACTGAAGCCTAGTAAAAAGCAACATGTATGTCATCCAATAACCAGAGAATCAGTGTTCAGAGGCTGACAGAACTCACAAAGAGTCTGCTGAGGCATAAAGGGTTTGCCTTCCTTGTGGGGACACTGTCTACCAACACCAAAGGAAGGATGGATATTTCAAAGTCCTCAAGTATTGACCACCTTTACAACTTACAAAGTTATGTATGTATATATATATACATACATATATGTTAGTAGTGGAAGAGCACACTGGTTTTAAAGTTGGAAGATCTGAATTTAAGACCCAGTACAGACACTTACTAGCTATGTGACCAAAGGCAAGTTACTGAACATTTTTTTTCTTTTTTAAAGGTTTTATTGGTATCTTCTGTTTCTTACATCATCACAGCTATCCCAAGTATCCTTGCCCCTCTTAGAGAGCTAACCCATATAACAAATGGTATTTTTTTGAGAAAAAAAAATCAGCATAACTAATCTATCCATTGAAAAAATCAAAAAAAGACCACGTGTAATATGTAAAACCCGTGGACCTCCCATCTCCACAAAAGCGTGGTTACTTAACGTTTTCATCTGTAAAATGGGGTAATAATGCTTGCAGTACTTACCTCATAGGGTTGTTATTAGGAAGGTGCTTTTGCACTACACAAATGTAAATTACATCACAGACAGTATTCTGATGTGGTTAGGAAAGTCAGGAGACCAATTCTGATGCCTGTGCTGGCCTGGGTACCTCTTTGAGGCTGTGGAATACTACTATACTGTCACCTAACTCACAAAATTGTTTTGAGGACAGTCATTTGTAAACCATCAAGTGCAATAGAAGCAATAACTCCATGAGATGGTTAGAACTACACTAGAAAAAATGGAGGTTCAGAGAGACATGACTTGCCCAAGGTCACTTTTACTAATTACTACTAAATGTCAGAGCTAGGACTTGAACCCAGGCAAGTTTTTGTGGCCTCAAATGAAGTCTTCTTTCCATTATAACGCAGCTTCATAAGTTTTTTAAGGTATTCCAAGTACTTGGAAGAATCTGAAGTATAATAAATGATACATAATGACTTAGGGTCAAAATGATGTTATAGCGATGCTATTTCCATTTTACAAATGTGCTGGAAACAAGGAAAGGCAGGATCACCCTAACAGAGGGACAACATAGGAACTTTCATCAATCTACAATATTCTGAAAACTTTACATCTCAAGTTAGCATTAGGAGTTTCTTTAAAAGAAAACTTTAATTTTGAATAATTAAGGTATCATGTATTTTTATTTTAGATATAATTCAAATATAATTTTTAGATATCAGGGCATAAGGAAAATAATGAAAAACAATTATAAGTTCAAAAAATTAAAAGTTATCCTAAAAGGCATTAATATGTACAGAAACCATGAATATAAATTCATTTCCAGTTGACCTATCATCATACATACACATTTATTTATATAAAACAAAATTCACTTCATACCATTAAAAAGCTGGGCATAAGAAGCCCCATGAAAGGAACTTTAGCTTCTAATTAATGCATCAGTGTTACGGCAGAGGAAAACAAAGTCCATCTATTTCAAATGTTTAACCCTCTTAATTACAAGAAAAAGGAACTCCGACCAATACTTGTTCATTCACATTGCTTTATAAATCATTTGAACAGATTTACAATGCAAATCCGACACTATTTGATATTTCGAACAATCCTCCTGCAGTGGTTTGTTTTCATTTCTCCTAACGCTTCTTCTAGTTGCTGAATCAAGTGCAGCAAGGTAGCTGGGTCAGTCTGCAAAACCTGACTGCTCTGCTCTCCATCCTGACTTAGGTGCAGCTTTAGAGTCATTGTAGGTTTAATCTGTTGTCTTAGACATCTGCTAGCAAGCTAGATGTTGAAATGGAAGGGAAGCAGAATTAAACATTCATACATATTAAAATGAATGCAAAATACACACAAGAAAACATTTAGAAATCTTTTAACTCCCACGTACTTAAAATCAACATTTTAAAATAAATTATTTGATACTACCAACAACTCCAGAAAGTCCAGAAAGTACTACTATAATGATATACACCAAATATGAGTAAAGAAATTTAAAAAATCAATCTAATGAGAAAATTAAATGAACTGGGAGGTTTAATCTAGGAAAAGAGGAATAAGAGGCAACAATAGTGTCCTTCAAATTTATGAAAGATTGTCTATTTAATGAGGGATATGTCAATCCATTCTTTTATTCCATTTTTGTACAGAACTGAACAAGAAAAAATTGGCTTAAACTAAAACAGATAAAGAAATCAACTGTCCAACAGATAAAATGTTGGAATGGGACAACAAAAGACCCTGAGGATTCTTTAGTTCTTAAAGCCTTCAATCAGAGACAGAAATTACTTCAAAGTTAGAAGAGACATTAGATTAGAGGTCATCTAAGTTCAAATGTTACCTGAAAAAAGACTTCCTCTACGCCAGTGGCGTCAAACTCATATAGAAATATAGAAATGTCATACATAAAGATCCTGGCCAACTGCTTGTTATCAGTCAAGTGTCTGATGCCTCTGCTCTACCACGTGACCTATAGGAGAGGACTCCACTATGCCTGACCTGAGGACCATTCGATTAAGGAATGGATAGTGCTAACTGCATAAATTTGCCTCTTTTAAACCTTCAACCAACTGCTCCTAGTTTAGTCTTCTGAGGCTGAGGTGGACAAGACTAATCTTTCTTTCACTTCCCAGCTCTTCAGATACTTGAAAACAGCTATCAAGTCCCTCATGAATCTTATCCAGAATAAAGACCCCCTTCTACCTCCCACAATTTCTTCAATTATCTCACAGCATGAATGCAAGGCCCTTCCCCATCCTGGTTGTCCTCCGAAGGACTTATCAATGCCTTCCTAAATTGCAGTCTGGCCACAGAAGAGTGCTATGGTTCTATCATCTCCTCACTCCTAGACACTCTGCGTCTCCTAGCACAAGCTAAAATCACATTTGCTTTCTTGGCTGCCATGCCACACTGCTGACTTGTAAGGAGTCTAAAGCCGTTAGACTGGCTAGATCTTTTTCAGATGAATTGCTATCCAGTAATGCTTCCCTCATTTTGCACATGCAAAGCTGATTTGACGTAAGGGAAATTTCCAAGTAACTGTAGTCTCTTTCTTCAAAAGCATTACATTCTAACGTTTTTTTTCCTCCAAAGAAATGTATTATTCATTTGCTTTTAATCTTAAGAATATCACTTTTCTTGATGACTTAAGGTCATCATTATAAATTATTAAACTATTTATAACTCTATCTGCTTTTTCATTTTTCTGTCTCTTTCCTAGAAGACACATGATCAACCGTCATTTTTCCCCTTTTTCTCTCCCTTGAATAGTTCTTAAGCCACCTTTGCATCATCCTCTTTTAGTTTACCCGAGCACAACATATACACTTGGTAAAATTTTTATGCTAAAATAGTCAGAAACAGTCTGAGTTTACAACCTTGGGCTTGGCATAAGCTCTCAGAGCTCTCTAAACTATAAAATGATGGGAATTAAGCCAGCAGATTTACAAATCCAAACTTCTTTTAGCTAATGAAAGTTTCTAATTCTTTCAGAATACACCATAGCTAGCATTATCCTATTTTTCTATCTCTCATCTCTTCAAATAGTTTGCTAATACTTGGGGGCAATTACTATATCCTACACCATTTTCTTGTATCTCTAGCACCTAGCACAGTTCCTACACATAACAAATATGCAATGAATATAGTAATGACAATGTAACATGGTTTTAGTGAAGATGATTTGAGAGTACTATTTTAGGTACTTGAGAGATGGCAAGAAGTTTAGGTTGGTTAAAAGTAGGTTTATAAGTAAAGAGTTTGGATTTTCTTCAGTAGGTACTGAAGAGACACTGATAATTTGGGAATTCCCAGGATACCTAGCTAGAGAACACTGGGTTGAATTCCTTAGACACACTACATCTTAATTTTTTAATTAAATTTTGTTCAACAATCAAGCATTATTTTTTCTCTCTCCAACCTCTCCTTCCCTCCCCCACCTCAAGAAAAACAAAAGTCTAATAACAAATATGCACAGTCAAGTAATATTACATTCCCATACTGGTCATGTTCAAAAATGTAACACCTTAACTATATGACTAACCATGGCATATGTTAAAGGGGTATTATATTAAAATATTACTAACTGCACACAATGTTTCATAAAATAATTTCCCTGAGTTTTTATCATAATTTAAAAGCCAGAGATCCAACGTATTTTATACAGTTCCATGAATCAGGTAATTTGACTTCCTCCATTTCTATTCACTTTCAGTCATGTCTCTAATTATACACATATCCCCCAACATAACTCTTTCTTTCTTGGAGCTAATTAATAAAATTCTGTCAATAATCTGGGCCAGAGGCCTTGAATTAAAGTGAGTGCTACGTGGGTGGTAAGGAGTCAACAGTAGAGATGTGGAAGACATAGAAACAAGAAGATTTGACAAATTATTGCATATGTGGGGTGAGGAACAATGAAGAATAAAGGCTGATCCTGAGGTGACGAGCCTGGGAGGCAGGAAGAACAGGGACAGCTTTGACAGAAATAGGGAAGTCTGTAAGTGGTGCAGGCTTGGGATGTGGGAAGGAAGATAACAAGTTCAGAAATGGACATGCTGAGTTTAGACGGCATAGCCAAGAGGCGACTGGTGACGGGGGGCTGAAGCTCAGGGAAAATACTGGGACTAGATAAACAGCTCGATGACACGTTTGCATCAGAGTGATAGTTAGACTAATGGAACTGAGGTTACTGAGAGAATGTAGAAAGAAAAGAGAGTCTACAACAGAACCTTGGGAAACACCACAGTTATGGGACATGATATGAATGATAAAACCAGCAAAGGGGACTGCAAAGGAGGACAACGAGGAACAACAGTACTACAAAAATCCAGAGATTTAGGAGAGGACAGTGGCCAGGAAAAAGGATGAAGATCTGTGAGAGCAGCGATGACTGAGGATGCAATCTGATAGAGAAGACACAAGGGGATGGGATAAAACACACACATAGAAGGGCTGTCCATGCAGGAAAGGCCACTTCTTATCAGAAGCCAGGTGTATGGAAAGAATGGAGGATGATGTTAGGGGGTTTTAAGATAAAGGGAATAGGAAAAGTAGAAGCCCCCACAAATGGTCTCAATACTCTCTGTAAAATAAGGTCTTCATTTAAGAGAGAAGAGAGGAGAGGAGAGGAGAGGAGAGGAGGCACGAGAGACTTGAGAAAGGAAGAGAAGATTCCAAGTAGCTTCCATGGAACGTGAAATAGGGAACCAATTAGGGAAGAATAAAAGGACTACCATGCTGTTAGGAGGGTCCAATTGATTTTGGATCATATAATTTAGAATATTCCCAGTCAGCATGCTTGTAAGACTTCCTCTGGCTCCATTCAGTAGCTTGTCAGTAGGAGCGGAGGAGGCACACAGTGGTGAGAGTAATCCAGGGCTGAAGCGTGGCAAGAGATGATCAGTAGCAGGACAGAGGGGCAGGGATTTCCTGAGAAGAGTTCACTACAGAATTGAAATGACTAACTACAAGGTTCAGACTAGAAAGGGAGGAAAGTGAAGCTGGAGTAGGGGTGATGTCATGAAAAAGTACTTCGGGGTAGGAGAATGAGATGCCTCGATGATGGGAAAGAACAGGTTTAGGAGAGGTGAGGCATAAAAAGAGATGGACTAAAAGGTCATTTTCAGATAGAGGAATATCAGTTTCTAACCAAGAAAGTGGTACATTTATGGGTAATGGTGAGATCTAGTATGTGACAATTCCTAAGTGTGGCTGAGATGGAATGAAACAGATCATGAGATTTAAGAAGCCTACAGAATTTGGAGTTTAGGGGGCTTGAGGGAGTATCATCAATGTGAAGGAGTTGAGGAGAGGAAGATGGTGAGCCAGGTGCTGAACTCTGAGAAAAGAGAGAGAATGACCTAGGGGCTAGTATACAACAGCCACCATGATTTGAATTGGTTGGAAAATTTTGACTGAGTGGATATGGACCTACCTGTTCTTAATGACCATAAGATTTAAGGCTAATAAAGAACTCAAAGATCATTTGAGTAAACCTCCTAAGCAAAAAATAAGGCCCAGGAGACAAGGTGACTTTCAAAGGTCACACAGATAGTATACAACAGATCCAAGATTTGAACCCCAGTACCAATACCCCTTCTATATCATACTATGTCATTACTTCCTTCGGTAAATTTCAGAGTCAAATAAAACATACTATTGTACTTTTAATTTATTAATTTATTCTGAGACAAAAGCTCAGTCATACCCACAGTTGCAGGATGCAGGAAAATAGCAAAGATGATTGTTAAAAGCACAAAGCACTATATTTGACCTTGTTCTTCTAAGAGGAAAAATTACTTTGCTCCTCCCTACAATACTTTTTCATAATTTTAAAAATTCTTAAATAAAATTAAATGCATCAGGGCCAACTTCAGAAACATATTTACATTTGGGGGGCTACACATCAAGGTAGAAGGAGTAGGGTAACCTGATAAGGGATACAAAATAGAAGATGATCTTATTTGATACTAACTCTTTTTAGGTTGAGTTTATGAAAGATAGCACACACTAAAAGCTCTGGAGTACTAAGCTCTCTATTTAACCACAGAAGACACAGGACAGAGTTAATTTCAACAAGAGTAATATGTTCTTAGGCTATCTAATGCTGACCACCCCTGAAGTAACAGGGAAGCTCAGTCTGAAACATTCAATTTACTGTTACTAACAAGGGCGTAAATTGTACTCTTGATTTATTCCAGGCATCTTTCCACTAGAAACTAGGCTGACCATTACCTTGTTCCACATAAGCTACTGCACATTAATTAAACAGTAAAAGTTTACCCATTACCAACTTCAGCGGAGCCAAGCCAGTTACTTAGAAATGAAAGGCTCTATATCTTGCTACTACTCTTCTGACCCATTTGGTCTCTTCATTGGACATATTTCCCTCTACTTCAGTGGGAGAATCCATTTCAGCTCAAATCTCTCAGTAAGGGTTTTAACTAAGTAAATTTAAGAAAAACTCAGTTATCTTTTTGAAGCATTTTAACATTAAAAAATAAAAATCACTATAGCAGATTTTCAATTTTGAGCTGCAATAATCCTCGTCTTACACAATTTAGACTTGGGTCTTATTTTAATCAGCTATGTATCTGTCTTCATTTCAGAAACTTTTTACTTTTTCTCTTTATAAACCTGGCACCTCAAACAGCGCCTGGCCCATAGGACAGGGATAGAGACAGACCTTATGATTTCACTGAAGTAGGGAACTATCCAGTGAGGAGACACCCTCTCCCAATGCAGATCAGCATTTTCTCTTTGTCTTAGAGAGCTCCCTAGAACACTCAGTGATTTGTTCGGGGTCAGACAGGCAATATACGTCAGGGGCAAAGCTTGAAACAAGGTTGTCCCAGCTGAGGCTAGTTCTCTGTCCATTACACCAAAGGTGCCACATTCACTGCCCACAGAAGTCCCCAGTACTGCTTGGACAAGAATAAAATTTAACTGGGAAATGTTTTAGCAAAATAAATAAAAATACAATACAACAAAAATAATGTTAATTTGAGGTTTTCTAAGTCAACATGTGGCCTACAAGGGTGACATATAGCAAGTGCTCCCTAAATACTTGCTGACTGATTGGAATTGTTATCATGCTGGCTGCTAATAACGACATATTCATTTAGTAATCACTTTTTTTTAAATACTCAAAAAAAGCTACTTTTATTCTGTGCAAAGGAGAGAAATACAGAAAAGAAAGATCCTTTTGGCGAAGAGAGATATGACTCCGTTATTAAGTGACAAACTTGCTTAATGGTGCATGTTTCCACAATCCCATTAAATGAAAAATCAAGGTTTAAAATAAAAGCTGAAATTCAGACTTATATGATTTGAGCTGAAATGAACCTTTAGGAAAGATCTGGTCCAACTCTCCCACTTGACATTTGAAGAGGGGCTCCAATAAGTCAGTGGACATATCCAGGGTCAGACTGTGAAAGAGCAGAGCAAAAATTGAAACCCAGGTCCTCTGACTCCCCAAATTATGCTCTTTCCACCTCATCTTGACATTTATCTAAAGAATGAGATGACTTAAGGAGTCAAAGCTACAAAAAAATGGCATTATCAGGACAAACAGAGGAAAGCTTTTCCCCCCAGACCTTTCAGCTGAACCCTGAATCCTCTACTTAATGCTGCCTTCTCTCTACCACATGAGCTAAAGCTGGACTCATTCCAGGACACCGACTGCCTGCTGCCCTCGGCCAGGACGACTTTTCCTTTTCCTTGAATGAATGCATTTGAAGGCACTTCCCTCCCCACTACTCTAGGAAAACCAGACTGTGTTCCCTCTCCTCCACCTCTGGGGTCCTGGCATCAATAAGGTTCTGTCATTATTTCTTCCCAATGCCCACTGCCTCTAACCCAAAAGCAGACTGAGAGGTGGAAGGGACTGATGCAGGCCTCATTTACGTTCCTGCACTGCCTCTGGATACTTTCCTGGGCAAGTGCCAGTGAAGTCTCCCTTCACTTGGCTCCCTTCTGTTCCCTCCTGTCAAATGAGACATCCCCAACCACGGCCTTCTTCACATCATTCTCATACTAGGGGGCCGCCTATCATCTATATCAAGCACAACAACTCTTCTGGCTGGACTTTCTAGCATCTAACCCAGTGATTCTTAACCTGTTTTGTGGCTCTGGTATGTGTCTCTTTCGCAATCTGGTGAAACTTAGGCACCCCCTTCTCAGAATGATGGTTTTCTTTTTGTTTTAAGACTGGGTTTCTCCATCTGGTCCAGATTGGAAACGCAGAGGCTAGTCATAGGTATGATCCCACTACTAACAGACAAAGATGCTTTGACCTGCTCTTGGTTTTCAACCAAGACTGGTTTGCCCCTCCTACAGCAACTGAGTGATCCTCCTGCTCCCAGGGGCTTCCAATCTGCACTCTTTTATTCATTCAGTCACTCAGTCATTCTCAGTCCAATTCTTTGACCCTGTGGACCAGAGTACTCCAATACTTGTCTATAGGGTTTTCTTGACAAAGATACTGGAGTGATTTACCATTTCCTTTTCTAGTCAGATTAAGGCAAAAAAAGGTTAAGTGATTTGCCCAGGGTCACACAGCAAGTAAGTGTCTGAGGCTTGATTTAAACTCAGGTCTTCCTGACTCCAAGCCCAGTGTTTTATCCACTGAGCCACCTAGCTGCCTCCCCAATCTGCACAGCCCACTATAACTCAGAACTTCTGAGCTCAAGAGATCTGCCAGCCTCAACTTCTCCAGTAGCTAGGATTACAGGCACAAGCCACCATACCCAAATCAGAATAAAGTTTTTAAATGCGTAAGATATATAGCATTCCAAAGGAGTACTCCTTTTAATTTCATGTCTACTTCTATGAACCAAACAATTAACACTTAATTATTCAGTCTTTTTTGGACTGGTACTATAAAATAAGTACTCTATTGATTAAAGTTTTACCTTCTAACAAAATATTTCCAATTGTCTTCAAAACAATTTTTAGACTGCCATAAATTGTGTTTTTTTTAAAGTTCACCTTAAAAATCTTTGCAATTACCTTGTTTCATATTAATCAATTTTCCTGATTTGAAAACACAAAGATGCTTATCTAAAACTGAAGCCAATATTTACCAATTATTTACAAATTAGCCTCAAAATAAACATGACAAAACACACTACTGTTTCAAAATAAATATGGTAAAGGTATTAAAGAATGAAGCAAAGGAAGATAAGCCTAGAATAACAGTTAATTCTCCAACACATCACAAATGATCCTACCTGTACATCTAATCTCCACTCAAGATTGTGGTAACTGGGAAACACTGGTGCCAACTCACTCAGAATTGTTCTGATTTCCTTTCTGTTGTCAAGATAAAGCTGAAGCAACAATTTATTCAAGTCTTCACTGAATCCCAAAACAAGCACAGAATCTTGGAAATCAAGTTCAGAAATCTGGAAGAATACAGGGAAGTATTATGTAGTAACAAACAATTAGCATACATTAAATATGAAAATATAGTAGATTCAACCTCTTCAGTTTCTTTTTGTTTAAGAAAGTATTCTGTGTTCAATCAAAAACCCAACTAATAATAATCACAATTCCTGACCATCCCTACAAAGCTTGAGTAACACAAGTGCTTCTTGAATTTTTGGAATGAAGAGGAAAGAATTCTACTGATACCCATGACATGTCCCATAATGAAAAGTTCTCTCTACTGTTTTATATATTATTAACTTAGAAAGAAAACTAAATCAATTCATTAGCTGCCTCTTCTTGAACATATTATTGTGATACTGTTTCAGCAAAATTCACAATTAGGATAATTTTAAATCAACAAAAACAGGTCAGCCTTTTTTCCAGAATATATCATTCTTACTGCTCTGTTATCACATTTGGGCTCAGAGAGAGATCCAAATCCAACACCTTCTCCCAAAGTACTTGGAGAACATGTCAGAACCACACCATTCCATAACAGGATTGAGAAGGTGTTTCAGGGTGACAACCTACTCCATTAGGATTCAGACATTTCTTTGCATAGCACCACTACTTACCAACCATAAATATACCTCTCCAACTTCTGCAGATACTTGAAGGGAATATTATACACAAGACAGGATGCTTCTTGCCACTTCCGCAATGCGAAACACGAATGGTTTTCAACTTTCCACAATACAAAACACGAATGGTTCTCAACCTTACCAACTCAGCCTTACCATGAGTTTTGAGCTTTCAGTGAGTAGGTATGTTAATCCCTCAACTCCATGCTGGACTGTGTTACTACTAACACTGAGTTTTCCTGTGGGCAGAAGAAAAGGCAACCACAATACAGTAAGTTACTTTTCTGTAAATTATTTCCTTTTACAATTTCATTCTACCTTCTAATTTTAAGTCATATATCTATTATCTAAGGCCCTGAATTTTACACCCACTTCAATTATGATGAAAACTGTAAATTATATAGGCTTTTACACAACTAAGCCTAGGTGCCTCCATCTTCTCTTCTCTCACTCTTCAAACCGCTGCAATCTGGGTTCCTACATCATCACTCAAATAAAACTACTCCCTCAAAGTTGCCAATGATCTTTCAGCAACTAAGTCTTTATGCTTCTTGAACTTTTGGCAATATTTGATACTGCTGCTCCACCACATGCATGGTTTTTATTTTTTTTGAGTGTTCTCTCTTGGTTCTCATCTTACCTACCCAACTGCTACTTCTCAGTGCCCTTTCCTGGATCACTGCCCATATCACGCCCTCTTAACTATGAGTGCACTGCCAAGGCCTCATCCTAGGCCCTCTCCTCTGTCTCTCAACCCCCTCCCTTGGTGACCTCATCAGTTACCACATGCTCCCATCTCTATGTACGCAGGCCTCACCTCTCCCCACAGCTCCAGCCCTTCATCACTAACTGTATATTTCCAACTACATGATCCTCTCTCAAACTCAACGTGTCCAAACAACTCTTCACATCATCTGTCCCACCCTTTCCTCCTATTACCACGCTGTAGGGCAACACCATCCTTCTAGTCACTTAGGTTTGCAGCCTTAGAGTGGTTCTCAGGTCCTCTCCTCTGCCCTTCCCCTTCAAGTCTTCTTGTAGAATGTACCCCCAAGCCATCTCCCACATGCATCCCATCCTGTCCAGTTCTGGTCCTCATCGCCTCTTGTCAGATCTGCTGGAGTGGCCTCCTTATTGGCCCCTGTTCCAATCTTTCCTCCAACACAGCTTCTAAATCCATACCAGCTGTACCCTCTCTTAGACCTTCTCAAGCACTGGTCCTGGAGGAGGAGGAAGAGCATCCTTTGAGCTCCACAGTCACTTCCAGATTCTCTTCTCTAACTCCTTTACTCACCAACCAGTCACTCACACCAAAGTTTTCCATCCAACCCACATTATGGCAGCTTACTGTAACCCCTCCCTCCTTATTCTCCTTCCCTTCTCAAGAAGTTCAGTACCCGGCTCTCCATCTTCTCCTCCTGCCCATATGTTGCCCTTATTCCAGAGGACTTAAAGGGCTTGTATCGTCTCAAACTCCCTAACTTCCTAATTCCTCAGACTCCTTAAATCCCACAAACTATTCCTTTCACCCTAAGTCAGCCACACATAGGGAGGTCACACACTGGATTTCAACATTACAAATGTTCCACTTCTCTAATTAGGAATATTCACATTCCCTTATCTAACTGTAAACTGTAATGCTCTCTCCCCCTCCCTAAGCTTCACCCTCTTAAACTAGTTCCTTGTCCTCAAGACCTCTCACCCCTGAGTACTGACTTCACTTTCCTCCTCCACCAACAACCCAACAGTTAGCTATTACACTGTCCCCTGCTCCTGAATCTCTTACCACTCTGACTTACTGACATCCTTCTCTTGACAAAACCTCAGCTCTGAATTACTACCCACCATCAGCTCCTGCTCACAAGCTGCTGGACCATGCTAGAAAGTCTCACTGCCATGCTGAGTGGGCACATTCTAAATGCACATTATCCGAACTCAACTGGGCCCTCACTGCAGCAAGGCAGTCCTTTTATTCCTTCCAAATTGGCTCCTTATCTCACACTCCAAAGAAGCTATTCCAAACTTTTTCTTCATCACCCTCAAGCTTCCCACATCTCTTCCTTCCTCTCAATTAGGACCAGAAAACTGAGACCATTTAATGTGAATTCCCACTTCTCTTCATCTCAAAACAACTTAAGTGCCATCCTCCACTCTCCTTCTTCCTCCCAGTTTCTGACAAAGGTGGCCCTTCTCCTGGCAGAGGCAAAACTGTTTAAATATGTACCCGGAGCCAGGAAGACCTGAGTTCTAACCCTGCTCCAGCTGTGCAGCTCTGGGCAAATCACTTAACCTCTCTCAGCCTTCGTTTCCTCATCTATAAAATGGGAATGACAATATCCCCTACCTCCCAATAAATAAAATACTTGTAAAGAACCTTAAAAAGATAAATAGCATAAATTTCATTATTTTATCCCATCTTCTCCAGATTTCAATCTCAATCATCCCTCTTTCATGAATTTTCAACCTTTCCCTATTCTCCCTGCCTTCAAGCTACCTGTCTTCCCAATGCTTAAAATACTGTCACTAAACCTGACCATCCCCTCAAACTAACATCATATCTCTCCTCCTTTTTGAACAGCCAAATTTCCTGAAAAAGCTATCAACACACACACTCTCTTCTCTCACTCCTAAACCCTTTGTAATCTGCCTTTCAACATCATCATTCAACTAAAACGGCTCTCTGAAAAGTTACCAATGATCTTAAATTGTCAAATCTGATGACCTTTTTTTTAGTGGTCATCCTTCTCAGCCTGTCTGCTGCACTTCGCACTGTTGACCACTCTTTTAATGGCTACTCTCCCCTCTCTGGGCTTTGTGACGCTACTCTCGCCTGGTTTGCCTCTTACCTCCATGACTGTTCATTCTCAGTCTTTGTTGGTTTATTATCATGCATATCACATCCTCTGAATGTGGTGTTTCCTACAGTTCTGACCTAGACCCTCTATCCTTCCCCCACTATCCTCTCTCTCAATAATATCATCAGCTTCCATGGGTTTTAACTATTATTTCTTTGCAGATGCCTTATGGATCTATCTATTCAGCCCCAATCTTTGCCCTGAAATTCAGTCCTGAATCACCAATTGCCTATTGGACATTTCACACTGAATGTCCCAGACACATTTTAAACTTAAGTCCAAAACTGAATTCTTTATCTTTCCCCTTAAACTTTTCCCTCCCCTGAAGACCCTATTTCTGTCAAAAGTACCGTTATGATTTCAGTCTTGTAGGTTCATAGCCTCAGCATTATCAACTCCTCATTTTCCTTTACCCCCCAAAACCAATCAGGTGCCAAACCTTGTTGTTTCTACCTTCTTATCTCTCAAATCCAACCCGTTCTCTCTACTCATAGCTGCCGCTTTAGTTTAGGCCATCATTACCTCTTGCCTAAATTATTACAACAGTCTCTTAATTAGTGTCCCTGACTCAAGTCTCTCCCTACTCCAGTCCCATTTCCTATACAGTTACCAAAGTGACTTTCTTTAAAGTTACTATCTGATCAGGTCATTCTCCTACTTAATGAACTCTAGTGACTTTCTACTGCCTCCAGGATAAAATATAAACTCTTCTGTCTAGCTCTTGAAAATCCTAGCCAACCTCACTGAACATTATCCTACCTCCTATTCACCATGACTCAGTCCTCTCCTCCTCCTCCTTCACGGCATACCACGTCTTGCTTCCATGCCTGAGATGCATTCCCTCCTCACCTCTGGTTCTCAGAACCCCTAGTCTGGAGAGAACTCAAGATTTAGCTCAAGTGACACCTCCAACACAAGGCCTCTCCAGGTCCATAAATCATGTGAGGTTTTCCTCTTTGTATCCCCCTCATTTAGCAGAGTGCCTGGCACAATCAGTATTTGGTAAATTCTTATTGAAAAAGGAATAACTATATCACATTCGGGTTTCACAAGAACTACGAGTTAGACACATTTGACAAATGAGGCAAAACTAGTCTCAGAGGGGTAAAGCTCATGGTCACACAACTGGTGTCTCAAAGACTAGGATATGGTAGCGGATATTATCATTCCCATTTTATAGATGAGGAAACGAAGGCTGAGAGAGGTTAAGTGATTTGCCCAGAGCTGCACAGCTGGAGCAGGGTTAGAACTCAGGTCTTCCTGACTCCAGGTACATATTTAAACAGTTTTGCCTCTGCCAGGAGAAGGGCCACCTTTGTCAGAAACTGGGAATATGGCAAGTTAAAACTAATAAATTAGTCAAAAAGTTAGTGTCCTTATCCATCAAAACTAGGAGGTCCCACTAAGGTCTCTTCTAGTCCCAAATCCCACTAAGTCTTTCTTCTCAAAATGTTCCCCTACCAACCACACATCATTATTTCCTGATTCAACACAACTTTCAGTTGTTTTTCAGTCATGTTCGACTCTGTGACCCCATTTGTGGTTTTCATGGCAAAGCTACTGGAGTAGTTGGCCATTTCCTTCTCCAGTTCATTTTACAGATGAGGAAACTGAGGCAAACAGGGGTTAATAACTTGCCCAGGGTAACACTGCTAGTAAGTGTTTGAGGCTGGATTTGAATGATGATGAGTCTTCCTGACTCCAGGCCCAGCACTCTGTGTCACCTAGCTGCCCCAATACAACTTATACCAAATTAAAATTCCATGAAAAGGCCCTATTTCCAACTGTAAATGAAATAAACTCCTCCCCCCACTCCAGTCCTCATCCTGAGGTTGTTCTGAATCTAATAAAGGTGTGGCTGAAGGGACACAAATCTGGAGTCCAAAAGCATTTGACAAGCTTCTGGGTAACAGGGAGAGAGAGATTATTTTTTACTGTTGTATCCTCACATGCAACAGTGCTTTACATACAGCAGGTGCTTAATCAATGTCTTAAGATGAGAGTCAACTGCCCTAAGACCACAACACCACCCGCTGCTGTCTCGTATTCTAACGTATGGCAGGTTAAAAGTAACAAATATCTGCTCTTCCCTTTCTGATTGTTCCTGTTTTCTTCAGATAAGTTTAAGGGCACCTGACATCTGAGACACAGGATCCAAGACGGCTTATGGGGTTTTAAAAGGATCTCGTAAATGGTCTAGTACAATTTCTTCCCGGACGTTCTCTGGACCAGAGAGGTGAGGAAATTCGCCTAAAGTCACACAAGCTGTGGAAGGAACACTAGCTTGGTCAGCAGAGGAGATGGCTCCAATCTCAGCTTTGGCACTTCCTAGGTGTAGGGCACTGGACACTCTGGGTCACATTTCGGCCGTTTCTTCCTGCTTTAAACCAAACCCCATCCGAGGGCCCTTCCAGCTCTAAATCGTGATGCTAATACGGTCAATCTTTCTTGTCAGACGCTGGCATTCTGGGAAACCAAACTAATCACAGGCTGAGAACAATGGGCCCAAAAGGCCAGAAAACACCAAGGACTCTCCCCCCAGCATGAAGGTAACACGGAGGGAAAGGTTGGGTTATAAGTATCCACCACAGTTAGAGAGAGTAGTGGGGGTGGGCAGCTGCACCCTCCTCTCTGCTGCCAGGCA